GCGTGCTTCGGCTCCTTTTTGTATCCCCCCCCCCCCCCCCCCCCAGAGCACCACAAACGCCACTCAAACAAAAGTCAGCTGCTCTTCAGAATTCCCCTTTATATGATAATGAGTGTGCTAGTCTGGTTCCAAATGGCATAGTTGATGGTGATGATGATAGCAATTGAACCAATCCTCCCCTTTTGTAGCAAGAGGACTATGAATAAATTAAGAGTCTGTTTGGGAAGGGCAACTACAATCAGTCTGACTTTTTCACATTTAACCTTATAAAATCTTCCCAGTCATATGCCATAGATCTTTTGCAGCTCATTGGCATGTTTTGTAATGCCAACCTTGGGCTTGATCACTGCTAATGATCTTATACACACATTAATCTAATTCAGCGTGCTTGCATTTTGTCATATCATCTTTTATCCTCTGTGAGGATTTTGAAATATATTTGCTCATATTCAAAACATTTCCCATCATTTTATTCTCAGGTTCGCAGTAAGCTCAGTGTGAACCTGAGAATAAAATCACCACTTTCTTATTATTGGCTAGAGTTTATGATAATGTCTTAATGTAAGCACACAATACTACAGGACAAAGAGAGCTTTTGAGGTTGACCCATTACTTTTTTTTTTGAAACTGTCAGTTTGTCATCACCTTCTAATGTTACTGTCAGTTACGTTTATCCCTGTTCTCTTATTTCAGTGTCAATTTTTCTGAATAAAAATGTATAAAACCCTTAATGTGACGTAATTTGTGTAGATCTATATTTTGAAGTACACAACTTTTACAATCTGAACAGATTTTAAAACACTAGGCATCATATACTAATCAACTAAGTATCACACACTGCCATACTTTAAAGTCGTTCGGAACACAAAATACATATGCACTTTGTTGATAGGAGACACATGGCAAATGAAAATGTTACAATTATTTTTGTTTTTTAGCTCAAGACTGATTCTGTGCAACTAAATTGGGGCAAAACTGGGCAAAATTGTGTAGTGTGTATTCCAGCTTTTAGTGGAGATGATTAAGTGTCTTGCACATTGATTCAGTAGCATCATAGAATTAAAAGAAATGTGGATCATAAAAACATTACATGAAAAAAAAATACATTTTATTCCTAAAAAATATTAATATAATATTAATAAAAGCAGTAACAATGCAAACATCTGGGAAATCTATAAGCCTGCTTCAAATATTTGTTACATGCTGGTTTTTCTTACATTTTCTAATTTTATTTTTTTTTTCCATTTGACTCATTGCTATTAAAACTTCGACAGGAAGATGGCCTTCAAATATAAAGCCATTGGCTTCACAGGAAATTAAGTTTGACCAGTTTACTGGTTTCTCAGCAAAAGAGCCCATTTAACCACAAAAACAGGCCCAAAACATGTTATCTGTGGTGATAATAATAATAATAGCATCAGGAGGACCTAGTGAAATCATGTATTGGACAAAGCAAACGAGCCAGTGTTCATAAATCCTGAGTAAGTATAACTCATTTTTGTTCACATCTGGACACTTTAATGAAAGTCCATGGCAAATATTACAAAACCATCCCTAAAGCTTTTCTAGTCAATTGTAAAAACAGCAGAAAAGAGCTAAGAAGATGCAGTGCAAGTCTGTTCCTCTGTATTTCTGATTTGACAGACGGACAGATCCTGTAGGGCAAGTTCACTGATCTCCTGTAACAGGACATAGAGGTTTGGTGTTTTGCTCTGTCTGAACTGCTTCTCCTCCCTGCTCAGTTTGGACTTCCTCCCCCTCTCTTCCTCCGCCTGGAGGGAGGCCTTTTCTGCCCAGCGCACCACCTCCTGAACCAGCTCAGACCGACCGCGACCAGCTGGCTGTGACTCGGGTTGCACAGCGCAATGGGGCTTGTTGCTGATAAGCTCCAGACACAAGCTGTCGGCATGGCAACGAGACGGTTCTACAGAGATACGAACCTGCAAAGGAAGACGGGCATGAAAGGAAGGAGGAAAACATGATGTCAGAGGATGTAACAGACACATATCTATGACGGTCCAAATAAAGGTGCCACAAACAATGTGATTTTTGCTGTTTGCTGAGAATGTACTAACTGTAACGTGGTCAAAGAGGTCAAATATATGAGTTCCAGTGCTGGTACAGGTGCTGATCCTGTCAGGGTATCTCTGCAATATCCCAGCCTTCCACTCGCACCTTCCATCTCCATCGACACTGACCACCTGACCCTCTCGATTCTTAAGGTACACAGCTCCCTTCAAACCATACCTGTGTGAATAGACAAGTGTTACAGCAGCTCGAAATCAAACATCGTGTCCACATTATATGCAGGAGCTATTTTTGGTGTACAGTTCATTCAAAAGTTTGGGGTCAGTAAGACTTTTCTGTTTGAAAGAAATTAATCTTTTTTTAATTAATTCCCTTTTTTATTCAGCATGAACTTAATCTTTTAACTAGGGATGCACGATATATCGGCCACCATATCGGTATCGGCCAATAAATGCTCATTTTTTCTGTTATCGGTATCGGCCTGATAAGAAAATTTGGCCGATATCTTAAAGCCGATAAATAATGCGTTATTTCCTTCAGAGACACTTCAGATGCGCGCTGTTCGTTTGCAGCCTTTTGTGCAATTGTACGTTGTAATATTGTGTTTATTTGATGTATATCTGATTTATCTCATATAGAATGCGTTTGGTTAAGTTAAAAGAGCGCTTCAGTTTACCGGTGATTGTCTTTAGCTCAGCGCACGCAGCTCAAACAGCAGTGCACAACATTAATAACTATGATTGGGAATGTTGTGTATATAACATTCTAATGAGAACATTATTATAATAAAATGTTGTGCATTCTTTGGGTTTAGTTGCTGTGTTTCAGTGCGTTGTTATGGGAAGAGCGCATCCACAACAGGATCACACATTCTGACTATAGCATGCAATAACTGCGTCATTTGTCATTTCATATATAAGTTGTAATATTATGTTTATGTTGTATTAATATTAATCTCAGGATGCATTTCCTTGAGTTAAATAAGCTGCCAGCAAAACGCTTCAGTTTACCGTGTTCATTCAGCTCTTCAGCTTCAGCACGCGCAGCTCAACGGCTGCTATTTAAAACAGTGGTATTAATTTGTTACTTTTTCAAAATCATTGATATATTATTAATAACAACAACCACTTGTATTGTTCTCTTATTATTTTCATCAACAGTATGGTTTAGTAATTAAAATCATTTAATTATTGTCCGTGCAGAGGCTATTCCGTTTTATTGATCTGTGGCGCATTCATTTTGATTCTTTACACGTGTAATGATGTCCAGTGACTTGTTTGCATTATTTATGCATTATTTTATTTATTTGTAAGACTTTTTTATGACTAAATTTGGTAATGGGAGAGTAAAAATATTTTTAAAACGTACACCGTTCAAACTAGGCTGCTTATGTTGAAGTGTTTGGGATGTGGCTTTTAATGATTTGACCTTTTTTGTAATCAGGCTCTCAAAAAGTATATAACAATTCGGATATAGATTTATCGGCCAACATATCGGTTATCGGCTTTCAAAAATAAAGAATAATCGGTTATCGGTATCGGCCAAAATGTTCATATCGGTGCATCCCTACTTTTAACTTACAAAACATTGTGCTTTCTATTTCAAATAAATGTTCTTTTTAACTTTCTATTCATCAAAGACAGACAGCACAATTGTTTTCAACACTGGTAATAATAAGAAATGCTTCTTTAGAACCAAATCAGCATATCAGAATGATTTCTGAAGGATCATATGACACTGAAGACTGGAGTAATGATGCTGAAAATTCTACTTTCCACAGAAATGCATTACATTTTAAAGTGTATTAAAATAGAAAATATTTTAAATTTATACCTCACTCTTTTAATGTATTTTTGATCAAATAAAAGCAGCCTTGGTGAACATAAGAGTATGCATAGTAGTGTACACTTTTCTTAATTTTTTTGTGTTTAAGTGACGTGACATGTGGCCAAGTATGGAGACCCATACTTAGAATTAGTGCTCTGCATTCAACCCATCCAAAGTGCACACACACAGCAGTGAACACACACCCGGAGCAGTGGGCAACCATTTTTGAGCAGTTGGGGGTTCGGTGCCTTGCTCAAGGGCACCTCAGTCGTGGTATTGAAGGTGGAAGAGAGTGCTGTATATTCACTCCCCCCCCACCTACAGTCCCTGCTGGTACGAGAGTCGAACCCGCAACCTTTGGGTTACGAGTCCGATTCTCTAACCATTAGGCCACGACTTCCCCCTTTAAAAATGTAACATTTTCTTTGGTCCAAACACTAAGTAATATTCCATAAGCAGGTCATTACTGTGGTACGAAGGCCAGAAAACCATTAGTTCGGACAGCATAGATCACAGCATCAGCCACACAGCGCTCATCTGTGTGTGAGTCTTTGTCTCGGAAGTAGAGGCACTGGAAGAGCTCCGTGGACTGCTTCTGTGCATGCTGTGCTGCCTGTCACACAAACAGAGAGTGCAGGAAGTGTTGGGGTAATTTCCCAGACAATCATGTTACTGCAGGTTTACTATGTAAGGATAAAAGAAACTAGAATACTTTGATCTCCTGAGAGGCAAACAATGCACTGGCATCTTCAGGACACCCCACAGAGGGGTGGTGGCCACTGGATACCTTCCTTGGGCCAGGTGCGCGGACCTTACAACTACAATGAAATACTGATACAAAAGCTAATGGCCCCCACTTACTCTGTTTTTATTGTTGATATGTTGAGCTAGTTCCTCAAGTTCTTTGTTACTAGCGAAGGGTTTGCTTAGTGATCCTTCCTCCTCCAGCTGAATAGCAGCCATGAGCAGCCGGTGAACTAATACATCAGCATAGCGTCTGATTGGAGAGGTAAAGTGAGTGTATCGATCCAGAGCAAGACCTGAAAATGACATAAACAGCCAGACCTGATTCATGCTTTCATCCTTTTCTTAGTTCTAGCGAGCAAATTGATCAAAATGCCACTATGTCTATGGCGGTTTTAAGTCATGGTAGAATGTTTATTCATACTATACTGTAATAATGAGATTACAAATGATCTGTAATGATGACAGAATGAAAGGCATGTACCATAGTGATAATACTGTTCTTCTGGGCATGCTCCTGTAGAGAAGTAAAGGGCATTAGACATTGCCTGGGTGGCCATCATTCTCATTAACTTGTTCACCAGGGGGTCCTGAGGATCCACAGCTCGTTCCAGAGAATCAGCCAGAGCTCTGTTTGACCTAGTTTAAGCAATGCAGACACATATAATTATACATGCATGTATGCAATCTATCTCTGACTATACTGATTATATTATGATTCGATTATATACACAATCTATCTTTATTTAGATAAATAATACTGTTCAAATGTTCGGAGTTTTGGGGGGTACTTTTATTCAGCAAGAATGAATTAAACTAATCAAAACTAAAAGTGAATGCATTTAAAATGTTACTATACATTTAGTTTTCAAATAAATGCTATTCTTTTGAACCTTCTGTTCATCAAAGAATCCTGAAAAAAAAAATTTCACAAAAATATTAACTGTTTTCAACACTGATAATAATAATAAGAAGAAATGTTTCTTGAGCACCAAATCAGCATATTAGAACATATTCAGACAGTTATTTAAAGCTGCAGTCCGTAACTTTTGGCGCTCTAGCGGTTAATAAACAGAACTGTGTGCATCTTGCAGAAGAACATTGTAGCCGGAGCTACTTCTCTCTGTTTATGTCTATGGCGAATCACGCAGGTACTGGGCTACTCCGCAGCGGTACCTACCCGAACCAGTCTAAATAGTCAGAATATAAACACTTATTATAGGTGTACCATAGTGATTCAGGACAAGCCAAAATCACGGTTTGGAAAATGGATTCATGGTGTAATCGCTTATTATATACATTTTGAACACAAAAAAGTTACGGACTGCAGCTTTAACAATATTACTGTTTGTACTCTATTTTTGATCAAATAATACAGCCTTGGTAACTTATTTCAAGAACATGTTACCCCAACTTTTGTAAATTATTGTTTATCTAGTATCAATACTGAAGCCACGGGCCTTGGCACAGCCGATGAGGTGATTAACTAATTATGGTTAATTATTCATATTTCCCATGAGCTGATTAGCTACAAAGAACTCCTGTTTGGGTGGTGGGTGATGACGCAGAAGAGCTTGGTGTGGAAAGCTCTCCTGTATCTTGCGTGCCACCCAGTGGTTGGCATAGATCATACACTCTGCCACAGTCTCATGAACTTCCAGAGGCTGTTTGGGCACAAGGGCTGTAATGTTCTTCTCCTCATCCAGCTGAGCCCTCACCTCCACCCCCTCCAACTCCAGAGCACCACCTTTATCTCTCTGTGCACGGAGATGTCTGGCCACCCTCGTCAAGAGTCTCTAGGGCCTGCAAGAGTTCAGCCCGTTTCTGGTCCCGCTGAGAACCCTTGAGCCGGCTTAGCTCAGGTACCTCAATCTCCTCGCCATTCAGCAGACTCTGGGCCAGCTCATAGTGAAGCTGATAGGAGGAGCGGATTAGAGTGCGACCGTACCAAACCGTACACACATCCAGAGTCTCAGCATCCAGCTCCCACAGCACACTCATGGCATATCTGCAACATATTACAGAGCGATTCCCTGTTATTTTCTATCGAAGTCAGATTCCAGCAGCATATTAGGTCACTTTTTAAGTCTCAAAAAGCAGGGAAAGGTTTGTGTGTTACTCACCGGTCCACTCCTCCAAGGAGGGAGCACAGATCAGCACTCAGCACTGCTGGCAGCATGTCGTACCTGCGGTCAGCCAGGTAGCAAGTGGTTGCCCTGGGTTTAGAAAAGAGAGATGCAACTTATTTATTAATGTATGCACAAATCCACATTCATCACAGAAATGTGATAATAAACATACACTAGCGTTCAATCGTTTGGGGTCAGTAAACTTTTATTAAGCAAGGACACATTAAACTGATCAAAAGTGACAGTAGAAACATTTACAATGTTACAAAAGATTCATATTTCACATAAATGTTGTTCTTTTGAACCTTCTATTCACCAAAGTGTCCTAAAAAAGTATCATGATTTCCACAAAGATATCAAGCAGCCTAACTGCTTTCAAAATTGATAAGAAGAAATGAGAAACGTTTCTTAAGCTCCAATTCAGCATTTTAGGATGATTTCTGAATTATCACATGGCACTGAAAACTGGAGTAATGGAGTAAAAATAAATGACATTTTCAAATGTATTAAAATACAAAACAGTTATTTTACATTGTAATATCATTTCACTATATGTCTTTCCTGTACTACTGGTCAAATAAACAGTCTTGAGCATAAGAGACTCAAAAACATTTTTTTAAAAATCTTTCAAACCCCTCAAATTTTGAACTTTAGTGTATGAACCATCATTATTCTTCATTATTAAGTGTACCATCAAAATAGGAGATTAACCAACTAAATAAACACATCATAATAAATACGCTAAACAATAATATACTCTATTAATCCACCACTATATTTTGAATAACTGGCAAATTTCCATACCTTGACCGTGCCTCTAGATCTGTAAGAGAGCCCTCCCTGGACAGCCAGCTCTAACCGTTTCCCACCAGGCAGAGTCCGCACAGTCAAGGTATCATCCACATCCTCACAGCCCTTGGGATCGATACTGAAAACCAGGTGTGTGTCTCTCAGGTCCCACCGAGAGGACACCTCACTGGTGTCCATCTGCCATGGGTTCTCCTCTGTGTTAACTGGCATCTCACGCAACTAAACAAACATACAAAAACACTGATTTTTATAGTAATACACCTTGTACCTTTTTGAAGGCTTCACTTTTGGGGATTCCCTCTTCTCATAAGGCAAAATAACAATTTAAACATTTGAAATGACTCAAATCAGATGCAGACACTATATGACCCCACCTGTGCCTCTGAGAATGTTGGAACATGGATGCAGTTCTCCACCAGGATGGTCTGAATCTCAGTCTCCAGCTCGCCTGCTTTCCCCAGCACCCTCACACAGTGGCCAGTGGGGTAAACAGAAGTACTTTCCCACGAATCCAGACGCACAATCACTCTTCGATCCTACAGAGAAGCATGCCATGAAAGATTTCATATATTCATATTTAATATATTTTAAAATTAGCTTTATCATATAATATGATAATATAATAACCATTAACAACAGTTGTGCTGCATTTTGTGGAAAACGTGATGCACTTTTTCAGGATTAAAAAGTTCAAAAGAAATGCATTTATTTAAAAAATGTTTTGTAACATTATAAATATATTTACTGTCACTTTTGATCAATTTAGCGCATGATTGCTGAATAAAAGTAATTATTTGTAGTTCTTCAGCCAGTCTACTGAAGGTTTGAGTACTTACAAAGGGTGTCAACAATATTGTAAACATTACACTTGCTGCAAAAAAAGATCTGCTCATCTAGACTATTGGAAACCATAAGGCATTTAAAATGCTGAATTATATCTCCACCTGCAGAGCCTCAGCCTGCTGTGTGCTGATATGGATTTTAGGGATGCGGTAGTCCCATGGAATAACCAGAATCTTTTGTGAATTTCGACTCTGTGACTGCACCTCCTCAAGAGGAGGAAAAGTCACAACGTAGTCTCTCCAGTTCCTCTGCAGAATACCCACCACCCTGCCTACAGGAAAGAGAGGAGAGAGTAAAAAAACAACCACAACTTGTACAGCCATCTACAGTGAGGTTCAAAAACCTGCTCCCACACTGAAACTTTGGAAATGTTGTCATTCGAAACCAAACTTTTTCAATAAAATTTTCACTCAACACAAAATATCATTTGTAATAATAATTAAAAACAATTATAATATAGATAGATAGATAACACTAAATAAAAGCATTTTCAACAGTGGTTCTCAGACTTTTGGACACCAGTGTATGTGTAAATCCATTTATCTGTCTGCATCCTGTGTATCAGTCAATCTTCACATTGTGCTCAGAATGTTCTAGACCAATTGTAATCATCATGTACCCATGATTACCTGAGGGCATAGGCTGACTCTGTGTGTCCTCCAGTGGCAACAGCCCTATGACAACAACGTCTCCATGCACCGCCCGGTTACGATGCTTTGCTCCATTGATCAGCACATCACTATTTAGCTCTAAAACACATGATCACACAGGCAGTATCAAAGGTAAAATACCAGAACACCATCAGTATCAATAAGAGCTTTAGTAATCAGAAAAATTATTTGAACGACTGATACAAGTATGTTGGTAACAACCTGTATTTTTGCTGGCTGAACCCTCGTAACGGACAAAGGCTTCAAGCTGTGCTCGATGTTTGTTCACACTGAGGATGCCCTTTAAGGGAAAGGAGTGGGTTGGAATGTAGTCTCCATAAGCCAATACCGAGAAAGAGATCTAGTTTAAACAGAAGTGTGGGGCACTTACCTGGATGTACCTGCCAGATTTTATACCAGCCTCCAACACCTCTGCAGGCAGGTGTTCAGTGTACACTTTCTCCACTCCTTCACTCTCTCGCTCTTGAAGGGTCTGAGCAATGGAGTCGTACAGATCATGGGTGGCCTGCAGGTCTGGCCAGAACCTTAACAGGTACTCCTACAATAGAGTTCACTGGTGTTACCAAGGGAAAAGTATGTTGTCTCAACAACATACTAAACCAAGCTGTTCATTGTTTTTTTTAAGTTAAACATTTGTATGGATTATGTCTAATCTGAATCCAAAAATATATTGATAATTCAACACTACAGATTCACAGGAAATAAAATAAAATAATATACCTTAGTTGAGATGACATACACTCCACTGTTTAAGGCACTAAATTCTGAAATAGCATCACTATCTTCTGTAATCATGACCACTGGCTGGAGTCCAGCTAGATAATTATAGTACCAAACTGCTGCATTATACACATTTCTGTAACAGAATCAACATCATGTTCACACATTAAAATTACTTTCCCGTGAGTTATTTTTTTCCCCTGCAGCTCAGGTCTTGCTTCTAATACTATGAAGTGTCTATGTGATCACTGAAGCAACTCTCTCACTTCTCAATAAAGTTTACTTGCTTTAAAAAAATATTGTTCACTAAAAAGTCAGAGTGCACGACATTCTTTTCACGTCAGAGGTTGATTCAAAATGAATATTCTATTAGACTATAGCCAGGGTTTTCAAAGTGTGGGGCACACCAGAGCATGTCAAGGAAGCCGTGCAGAGTGGTAAAAAAAATTTTTTTTTAATAATATTTTCAATCAAAACAATAAAATAAAAAAATACATGAAAAAAAAACTAAAAGAAGTAGTTTTTTGGACAAGGGACATAGTTATGTTTCCCACAGTGTCAGTACCACAAGCATGCTCAGGGTTGTGGAGGTTGGAGGCTTGCCTGGCCACTTCAGTCCCTGTGCACCCCCACCAGGGCCATCGCTAGAGTGGAGAAAGGTGGTTACAATAATCATCATGGTGTTTTATAATGGATGTTGGCCGAAGAAGGGAGTATGTGACGGTTTAATGATTCTGATTTAGTGCTCTTTTGGCATCTCCCTGTGGCCCTGTTTGGTATCGCAGCTTCATTTGCAATAATTTGTACTAAAAACAAATGTATTTTTTTCCTTGCATGGTTTTTGTTGTTGCACTATTTACATATATTGCAAATTATGACAATTAAAAAGTATTTTTATACTATTGAAAATAAGTAAAAATTAGGGGGGTGGAGGGGGTGGGGAGGCACCATTGTGTATGTTGTGTTAAAAGGGAGGCCCGATGTCTGTGAAAACCCCTGCTCTATAGTCTATTAATACTCTCACTACTCTTTTCTCAAAGTAAACAATGCATAAAAGAAAGTGTAATACTGGACAGTCAGGACCTTGTATGCCATTTGTCCTGAGACTCGCCCTTGTCTCTGGGGCAGTAGCAGTATTGCTGAAACTCATTGGCAAACAGCACACAATCATGGCGAGGGTCCTTCAGTAAAGCGCGCAGTCTGTTATATTGCCTGTGCAAGACGAAACAAAATGCAACTATGAAAGCAACCTGTAGAACTGTCCCTTCCAATTTTCCTGAAGGAATTTTCCTATTTTATTCACACACAGTACTAGGAGTAAGTGGCTCAAAAATGATATTTGAGGGGTTGACCTGCGTCCACGGGTGTGCTGAACAGTCTGGTAGGCTGTCTGGGTCAGCACAATCCCCTGCAGCTGCCTGAACTCCAGTATCTCCAGGAAATCCCGAACCACTCCCACATCGGGAACCACATAGTGTGTCACATCACCAGACAGCACCTTCCCGTCTATTGGAGCACAAACGGTCAATGCAAACCATTATTATCTTATTAGCTAAACTGGGAACACAATAAGAGAATACCTCAAACAATATTTGCAGGATGAACTACCAAACTACCAAGATTTAGTGACGGATGTTTTAATGACAATAAATACTTTTGTTTGGTACTTCATCCTGCAATTAATGTTTCCATGTTTGAGGAATTCTCTAAGGTAAATTACTGGTCATTACCTAATTAGTAGGGTGAATAAAGGGTTAAGTAGGACAACCTGTAAACTTAGGTTTGTTCCATTACTAAACATCTACATTAAGTTCAACCTAAACTAGTATGAGATGATCCATTCAGAGGGCGTTATACCACATCAAGTCACCAATAATTATGAAACACTAATAAGCCAAATTACAAAGATGTCTGAGTCGATCTACGTTAACAATTCGTAAAGCTATAGCTCAGTACAGAATGTGAAGACCACTGAATTTAAGATTAACTACTGTTAGCTTTGGTATGCTGATCCATTCTCTATAATGATAATAAACCACATATTTCATGGTGTTTTGATGTTTGGCTGGCCCATGTTCTCCTTACCGTTACGACAGTCCGCTTGACAGAGGGAGCTTCCACACGGAACCTGTTCCCTCACATAGTGCTCCCGAACCACACGGACCTTTCTACCCTTTGAGCTGTTCAAATGTAAAACTTTCTCAGTTTTAATCATGACCGGACCTTCCCTAATAAACTACTATTCCTTAGCTAGCCAGGTTCCTCCATTCTTCTTTGCTATGTTCATCAAAATGTGTTTTTTATGTTCGGATGGAATCTACGCTATCTACAGGACTGGAGGACGCAAGCAAGATAACGCTGCTTCGAGTATTCTTAATAATACCTTGATTATACACTAATCAGACACGGAGACAAGCCTTATTTTATCATTTTATTATTTATAATAATCTGGGAACCTACTGCCACGTTTATTCTCTATTTAGTTTAAAGCTTTTGAAAACTAAAAAATCTTCAAATATTATAGGCTCAGAAGAAAGGTATTAGGCCTGTGTCTGAAAATTCAACTAGGCAAAACGCCAATAGATGTTCTCCCAGTTCAGTGACATAATCTTGATCTCCTAGACCAAAACTGTTGTGCATAGTGAAGTTGTGTCATAATGCTGATCAATTCCACCATTTTGCATATATACGGGTTTTGACATGATACAGTAATTGTCATGTAAACAATCTTGTTGAACAATTAGAGAGAAGCAGACATACAATCCAACACTTTGCAGTTCAAACAAAAAGTGCCCAGTATAGAAATATTCTTCTTTCAGATAGTCTAAAACAGTCCAACAAAAGACACTACTAAACATTAAAAAAAAATGTTTTGATTGTTCATTTATGCAAAATTGCCTTATGATTGATTTGGCAAAAATTACAATAATTTCTTAATTACATCCTTTTGTCTTCACATGGGTGCTGCAACATTTAAAAAATGTCTTTGGCATCACAGATTTGTTCTCATTTTGAATGTCCCTGTGGAAAGTTGCTCATCTGGATGTTGTCCCCTTGTAGTCCTGGATTGTAGTAACCAAATCCATCAAACTTCAGGTCGAGTGGCTCACTGTTGTCCAGTCGGAGAACTTTGAAAAGATGAGACAAAACAATGTAAATCAGAGTATCACAGTAAAAAAATGAATCTGTGAAATGTTCATATGCCCTCACATGCATTCAAATGGATCTGGGTTCAAAGTGATGCAAATAATGACAAGTTAGTTTTATATTACCTGGATCAGGTGACATCTCTTCCACCAGTTTTCTGTGTGAGAAGTCTTTTTTGTTTCTTTGATTCAGGATGATAAATGCTCCCAAAGCCAGGACCCCCACTATAATCCCAATGACTAGGACAACAGTCCATGCCTGCCCTTTCTTGCTTTCGGTAACGTCTGAAACATCTGAAGATAAACCTGTAAATACATATTTCATTTTTATTGTAACAACGAAGCAACACTTGACCAAGTTAGCAATTAAAAACTTAATTTTGGGCTGTGTAATATTGTGGTTGCCTTTAACATGGTGTTACTTGCTTAAAAATAGTCATGAATCAAATCAGACCAACACCATCAGAGGTCTTTTTCAATTATTAAAGACCTTTTTTAAAGCCAGTTATTTTCCTCCAATTTATTAGTATACCTCATCAGGTCAAAACCATCCAATATAAATATATAAAAATAATTCTGAATATGCAAATATGACCTCTTCTTTTTAGTTCATAATGCTGTTTGAACACAGATCGATTAGAGTTACATTCACTAAAAAGATCATGGAATTTGTTCTCCAGCAATGTCAGGTGTTCTGTGTCACATTGGTCCACCCCTGACCTTGAAAAGAGCCCTTCCCAATATCTGCAGGGTGAACACCACTCTTATTGTGAGGGAAGGTGAGGTGTCAGTAACTAGACACTCTGGCCCAGAGCAGAGGACAAACAAAGCCTGAAATCCAACCCAGTGTCGAGGAACAGCAGCAAATATGTATTTTATGACTGAATCGAGAAGCCAAGAACGAGGGTTAGCTTGAGGGATGAAATAAAAAGATTTGCGTGATCTTTGTGCTATGGAAATGGGGAGTGAAATAATGCTTATAAAAGGTCGAAACACTATCAGTGTCACAGATTTCGAGTGAGCATTCAATTTCAGCTAAATATTTTTGGATTATAATTTTATCATGTCCACTGTTCAAAAGTTTGGGGTCTGCCAGATTTTTTATGTTTTTGAAAGAAATCTCTTATACTCACCAAGGCTGCATTTATTTAAACAGCAATACAGTAAGAAATATTAGTATTGTGAAATATTTTTACAATTAACTGTTTTCTATTTTAATATATTTGAAAATGATGGCAAAGCTGAATTTTCGGCATCATTACTCCAGTCTTCAGTGTCACATGATCCTTCAGAAATCATTTTAATATGCTGATTTGGTGCTCAAGAAACATTTTTTTTGTCATTATCAAAGATGAAAACAGTTGTGCTGCTTAAAAAAATGTACTGACCTTAAACTTTTAAACAGTAGGGTACTTGAATAATGAATATCTAATGACAAAACTCCTCAGCCATCCAATTAAATTTAGTCTTTTTGTTATAAACACACTTATTATTAATAACACTTGACTGACGCCAGTTTGTGATTCGAACCTCTTTCAGAATTCCCTCTGGTGTCAGTAGGTTCGGTCTGGTTTGTATCCTCACTGTCTGGGGCAGGAGTCGTGACGTTCTTAGAGACGGCTGGTGGAATTACTGCCGTTGTAGTTCTGTGTACTGGTGGTTCAGTTGGACTCACTGTAGTTTTGTTCTGGATGCTTTCATCTTTTGTTGTGGTGGTCGGACTCTTAGTAGTGCTGTTGGTGGGTACATCATCTGAGGGCAAATATCCAGAACCCGATTCATCATGGCTGCTCTCTGTTGTGGTAGTCTCAGGTTGTGGACTGGTATATGTGTCAATAAGAGTAGATTCATTTGTGTGTTCTGGCTCTGGTGTGGAGGTATCTGTGTCCTGTGTCAGTGTTTCATTGGATTCTGCTGATGTATCTGAGAGCTCAGAACTTGAATTAAGTGCAATCATAGGAGGTGGTGTTGTTGTAGCAATGGGACCCTCAGAACTAGCTTCCTCTGTGTCAGCAACAGACTGCTCAGGCATCAGATCCAACTTTGTGGAATTCTGCTCTCCTCCTCCACTATAATTAAATGTGCCAAATGGTTGTCCTTCATTTTCTGTACCGCTCTCTGGGTTGGCTTGTGCATCTACATTGCTTTGTATGTCTTCCTTACTTTCTCCTGTTGGTTTAGCAGTTATTTCCTCACTATGTGGTTGTTTTCCTTTGTCGCCTGTAGTCCCATTATTTCTTTCCCAATCCTCAGGTATCTGGGTGGACGCTTGTCGGAACGTCTGAAGTATCAAGAAGAGTGCAAGTGTGATGCCCAGAGGCAATTTCATGTTTGGTTCCTCTACCTGTCAAAATAAGACATGTTACCTGTGTGTGGAGTGTGCTTATCACAGAAAATCTAAACAATGCCAACAGAGGAAAAAGGGCTAAAAAAAATTCTGCTATTTTAAATGTAACATAAGTTCTATTACATACATAGACATCCTTGTTATAAATGTTGGCATCAATCAAAAGATAAATTAATCAACATTTGTGTGAAGCAAAACCTATGATGTCTCTCTCTACAAAATGAAAGTGTTCTTCAGTCTTTATTTCTCAGAAACCTCTGTTTAGCAGCCCTTTGTTCCACTCCCATGAGTCCTTTTCACTGAAGTGAATCTAAGCCCTCTTGATGCAACTGTAATGTACACCATTCAACCATGTCACGACATTGCAATAGCAGGAGGTGAGCATACAATATTCCGTATTCTGTGTATTGTATACAATGTACACACCCAAACTATATTTAGATGCACGCTTTGAGTGAAATGATGACAAAACAGAACACAAATAACAAAGCAACGTTCATACAAATACTTGTATAAATACTTAAATAAAATGATGATTTGATGAGACATAGATGTGACATGAGGATGTCAGTAATTGGTATCTACAGTATATTTTATTTTGATGTTGAACAGATGCACCCACACTTAACATGACTAACTGAGTAACTATTTCCATTGTATCGCCACTTCACAGTTAATCCTGTTTGGCCCGTTTATCTGCTATCATCTAATATTGAAGGCCACCAACAGAACTACAATTAAACAGTAATAATGTTACAGAAATGAAAGTGTTTCAGGGAGTAAAAAGTACTTGGGCTCCACATTAATGTCCTGTTTTTGTATTTAGTTCATAGAACATTTAATCTGGCATGTCATAACTGAATCAGATACTGATTTCTAGTGGTGTAGTTATTTTTATTATTTACAAATATTTATCATAATTTTACAAATAATTTTTATAACATTGTTGTTCTTTATTTTACGGTCAATTTATGAATTACATATTTGTCAGTTATTATTATTATTATTATAGTTTATGTCTGCTGGTATAATTCTGAGGCAACTTGAAGTCAATATGAAAATTCACCAATT